TGTTTAGCTTTATTGAACTATAGTTGATGAATGAAAGTTGTATATATTTAAAGCATACAATGTAATGATTTGATGTAAGTATATATTGTGTAATGAATCCTAAATTCAATGAAAAATATATCTATTCCCTCACATAGTTACTCTTTTTGGTGAGAATACTTCTAACATACACTCTTAGCAAAGTTCATTAATATAAAATGCAGTACATTATTCTCACCTACAGTTCTCATTGCTACACATTAGGGCTCTAAGACTCATTTATCTTGTAATAGGAAGTTATATCCTTTCATGAATATTTGCTCATTTCCCACACCCTTTTTTAAAAAAGATTTATTTATTTGAGAGGCAGAGTTACAGAGAGAGTGGGAGAGAAAGAGAGAGAGAGAGAGAATGAATCTTCAATCTGCTGGTTCACTTCTCAAATGGCCATGACAGCCAGAGCTGGGCCAATCTGAAGTCAGGAGCCAGGAGCTTCTTCTGGGTCTCCCACATGGGTGTAGGGGCCCAAGGACTTGGGCCATCTTCCACTGCTTCTCAGGCCATTAGCAGGTGGCTGAATCAGCAGTGGAGTGGCTGGGACCCCAACTTAGCCTACTACACCACAGCACCAGCCTCTCCCTACCCTTTTGTCCCAGGAAATGACAGTTGAGTTTTTAGATTACACTCATAAGTGATATCACTTCATATTTGTCTTTCAGTTGACTCTTACTCTTCAGGAGCAGCTCAAGGCAACGAATCCAGTGAAAGACACTGAGAAAGGCAAGTGGAAGAACTAAAAAAGAGAAGGAAGAGAGTTATTTCAGAGTGTCCAAAGTTCAAAGTTTAAAAACAGAAGTACTCAAAAGAATCAAGTTATGTGGACTTGAAACCAGAGAAAAAGACTTTGCACTTGACAACCTAGAGATGAATATAGTTTGAGAGAGCAGTCTCAGAGAAATGAGAAGGGAAAAGATTCTGTTAGCTAAGGAGTAACTGGGAGGTAAAAATATGAGAAAGGGAATGTTAGAAACTTTTCCAATATGTTATCAGGTCAAGGGAACTCAGAGCCTGATGAACCTAAGAACAGAAACCCAGTAATAATCTTTGGTTTAGTAACAAGAGAATCTATGAATCTTTAGATTATAACTTTACATTTTGCGAATTTCATTTTGGTCAATTTTTAAGGCAATGATATGAAATAAAAGTGTCAGTGGATAATATTTTAAAACTATTGTACTAATATGCATAATGTCAGAGGATCATTACCAAAATAGCTAGTTAGTATAAATATCAGAAAGGCCATCATTTCTGCTTGTTGCTAAGGGACCCAGCCTATATGATACCCAAACAACTACAAGTTAAGTAGGAAAACGTAGAAATCAGCCCGTCATTTTGTCTGCATGGTGCCAACTACCTACTTTTACTGATTTTCTCACTAAATTGATTCAATCGAACATTTTAAAGATGGAATTGCTTATCTAAATTATACTAAGTGATTAGACTACTCACCCACAAAGGCAATGAATACATGTGCACATGCACACATACACAAGCACACACACACACGGGAGGGTACTTGAAAAGGTTCATGCAAAATGGAATTTAATGATAAATTAATTTTGATGCAATGATATTTTGAGATATGTGCATGTTTTTTCATAATATGCATTTCCTATGAACTTTTAAAATAAAATACTTATTTATTTTAAAGGCAGAACAACATAGAGACAGATAAAGAGAGACAGGTCTTTCATTCACTGGCTTATTCCCCTAATGCCGTCAACAAATGTGGGTACAGCTGAAACCAGAAGCCAGAAAATGCATGCGGGTTTCCCATGTAGGTGGCAGAGCAAGTTCTTGAGCCATCCTCTGCTGCCTCCCACCACGTGCTTTAGCAAGGAGCTGGATTTGAAGAGGAGCAGGATTTGATTCCAGGCCCTTCAGTATGGGAAGCAGACATCACCAGCTGCTGCTTAGCCTGCTGCACCACAACACCCACCACTCCCATGAACCTATTGGTGATGTCATGTATGTGTGCATGTGTACATGTGTATGTGTTTACATGTACACATATACAAATTCCTACTGTATCATTTGCCAGTTAACTAATTGGGTGAGTATTTTTCCTTTTAAAAATTTATTTACTTGTATTTACTTGAAAGAGAAAGAGTGAGAGAGAGAAGGGGGAATGAATCCCATCTCCTGATTCACTCCTAAATGCAATAGTCAGGGTTGGATAGGCTGAAGACAAGAGCCTGAAACTCAGTCTGGGCTCCCATGTGGGTCTTAAAGACCCAAGTACTTGAGCCATCACCCATTGCCTCCCAGGTTGTGCATCAGCAGGAAGCTGGAATCAGAAGTGGAGCTGGGACTCAAACACAGGTACTTTAAGAGAGGATGCACGTGTTTATGACAGTCACCGGTGAGCCCAAATGGTCACCCCAGGGGGAATTTTTTTTTAATTATACTTTTTCCCAGCTGTCTAGCATTTTCACAGTGACAACTTTGTGTATTCTCTGTTATTGCCTATTTAAGTAAGAAAAAACCAAGTGAGATTGCTATTGTTCATTCCATTGAACATAAAGTGGTAGAAAGTGAGAGGAAGGAAGAAAGGAAAAGTGACCATGTTTCAAGCTGTGAATAGGGTAAGAAAGACAGCGACAAGAATGTAGAAGGGGGAATAAAACACATTACTTCTGCAAATCTGAAGCTAAAGACAACTGAGTAAGTCCATGCTGAAGGATTCAGTTCTCATCTTGGATATCTTTTTCAACTATCAAGACAGGACATTTTGAGGAAGATTTCTGGGGCCATAGCTGAAATTTTCAAATCAGGATTAGTTTAAATCTCTAGATACCTGACTCAGGACCTGCTAAACAGGATATAAAATTTTGTCTCAGAAGAAAGAAGGCCAGTTGATCTAGTGGAATGTTTTAAGTAGCTGCCAAGGAGAACCATTTTTATCGCATATTTAAATAGAAGAAATGGCTAAATTTAGTTCCTGTATACCTCTGAATTGTCCAGAAAATGCCATTGTGACTGTTTTCAAATAAAATAGCCTATTCTGAATAGAAAAGGTCAAAGAACAGAATATGTATACCATTATCATACATGACTAATTGAATTATATCACTAGTATGTATCATTTCAATATCATTATGCAACAGTGATTATCAGGAATTTGCTACTATAAGTATTCTTTTATGGAAAATAACTTTTTCAAGATAGATTTTGAAACATTTATGAAATGTTAATGCTCAGCATAGTGCTGTGGTCACAGGAAAATTCAGTTTGTGAAGAAAATCCATGAGTGGAGAAATATTCTTAGATTGTGGAAGTGTGCGAAGGTGCTAATGCACAAATGTGAACTGGCTCCAAGATTTTATAGCATTTCAGAAACTCTGACTCAAGATATGATTTCCTTAAAGAAAGAACTTGCCAAACCTTTGATGCTCAAAAGAGCGTCAAAGACTGAGACTCCAAGAGCAAAATTATAAAGGATACTAAATTTGATATACACGAAAGATACTTGATAGAGTTCCAGGAAATTGGAATTAAAAGTTTATTTGGTTGCTTAAATGTTGAATCCATACATAGTTATTCTTCATAATACACATTTTCATGAATGTCCCTCATATATATGGATTTTAATAGTTTTTGCATCATGATAAACTTATAGTTCTATTTTCCATGGACTGTTTGAGTACTCTTATAAATATTCTCTTTCCTTCTGTATTCACATATCCCTAGCTTCTTAATTAGGTGGCTGTGTTGAGCTCTGGTTTTTGAGGGTTTTATTTTCAACTAAGAGCCAATAGGTATAAACAAAGTAGCTGCTTGATTGAGCTCTCATGGGCATCTGGGTGTTAAGCCATCAATAAATAAATGCTTACTTTATACATTTTATTTGTGTAGCACAATGGCGTTACAGCAGACCTTAGTCTTGCTCAGAGATTACCTTAATTAGGTTGATGAAAGGTGATACAGAGAGAAGTAAAGGTGATAGTTGATTCTTTAGTATTGGCAGAATCACTTTGTGAAAGTATTATCAATCTGCAACAATTTAGTAATATGAAAGACAATGTATAGACTGGTAGTTACAATGATAGACTCTGGTGCACCCTTACTTGGATTTAAATCTTGGATCTGTTCTTCACTAGCTGCATGACCTGGGCGAGTACCATGTGAACCCTAAATTCCATATATTTCACATAAAGACTAGTACTTTTCTCACAGTTATAAGCATTAAATCAATATCACAATAAATATATGAACATATATTTATAAATACATGTATATATTTATAGTTATATTGATTTAATATATGATTGTATATATGTCTATACATAATTATTTATTATATATTAACATAATAAAATAAAGTGTCTACTTATGCTCCAAGAATTATTGTAAGCATTTTGCATTGTTACTATAAACAGATGGTGCCATATTCTGGTGCCATTTTTTTATTTTGAGAGCATAAAAATTAGCCTTTACATGCAGAATTGTTTACTGTCTTTGCAACAGATAAAATATGCTGTTGGCTATCATCTGGTTTGATAATAAGTACTGAGTATTTACTTTGTTCATTCATTGTTCAAGAAACTAATGTGGGATGAGTGTTTGTATTAACACTCAAGACATCACTTAAGATGTGCACATCCCAGATTGGAGCAACTGGATTTGATTCTCAGCTCTGGCTCAACTCCAGCTTTCTGCTAATGCGGACTCTGAGAGGTACTGAGATGGCACAGGTAGTTGAGTCCCTGCCATTCATGTGGGAGACCTGGATTATGTTGCTGACTCCCAGGTTGGCCCCGGACCCCACCTCAACCACTGGTGAGGATGGTTGGAAGAGGTTTGTTTCTCTCTCTCTCTCTCTCTCTCTCCTTCCTCCCCTCCCCTCTCTATCTTCACCATCGCCCCTCTCTAACAAATAAGTAGGTAAATAAATAAATACAAATTTTTAAAAAGAGATGGCTGTATAGTAGTAGTGATAAAGCTTTTGCCTTCATGGAACTTATATTTTTTGGTAGAATAATAAAGACATACAATTGAATCATGTGATGATGACTACTGTGATGGTGAAATTACAAGTTTTGAAGATGCTGTTTTCAATAGCATTGAAAAAAAGGACTCTGAAGGTTCTGTCACTGAACAGACATGTGATATAGTGAGGGAGAGAGGTTATGTTAATAACAGGGAACAAGCATACCTGACAGAAGAATGGCAAGTACATCATTCCCAAGAATGTCAGGTACCTGGTAGAAGTGAAAATGAGGAAGTGAGTTCATTGGATGTGGAATGAACAAAGGGAAATGTGTATAACAAAAAAACCAGGGGCCAGAGCATGGTGAATAAGTGTCTTACCTTCAATGTGTTGGCGAGTCCTGGGATGAGTCTTGAATGCCGTGATGTCACGTACCTGTTAGTAGTATTAGAGATGTAAAAGGTTGAGGATCAGGATCGATGGTATAAGCAAAATGGCAGAGACTTCCTGTACTCATCTGAAAGCTGAGACTTAGGAGTGAGAATTCTGGAGATTAGAACTGTGAAACTGGGGATACATGATGTATCAGTTAGGGAATTTTCTGACAGCTCTTCACATTCATTTTCTGACCACATTAACTATAGACCTCTAACTTTCAGTAAAGAAAGCCCATAGCACAAAAAATCAGAATGGTTGCATAGGGATAATTTTGAATTTACTCTTAATTGCAAAAATATAGACTCACAAATGACTGTGCTATTAGTAATAGATTACTTGTGACACATCACAGCACTAGTCTAATTCCACAGCATAAGGTGATTGCCATGGCTACCTGTGGAGACTGATGTATTGTGGGAGGGCTCTACAAAGCAGGTGGGATCTGAGTGGGTTTTTTAATGAGTGTGTCAAAGAAGGAAGGGAAAGGCATTCCTTTAATGATCAGATTTTTTTTTTTTTGGCAGTCTCTTCAGACCCTAACACTGATGCTATTAAGTAGAAGAAAGAAATTGTGTTGAAATTTGGGAGAAGGAAGTCTGGGCTACTTTGATCTCTAATTAAATGCTATACACATTCCTTCACCTATAAATCAGTCTCCAGAACAAGTATGCAAGAGCAAATCTTGATAGTACCAAGAAGATATCTAATGTGCTTTCCAGCAGTACATGTTGTCAGCCCCTTTTCCATGAGAGTTGCGTGGTGGTGATGAACTCTGTCAAGCAAATCTTTCCAAAACTGCATTCAGATTTGGCAGATAGATATGAAAAAAAGGAATTCATCAAATGTAATTAACTTTATTGGGTTGTTTGACAGGGCCACAGCTGCCTTTTTCTGCAGCAACACTAAATGATTTCTCTCTTACATTGGTGTACCGATGGATACAAAAGAAAGGGCAGAAATCATAAGAAAAGCCTGATTTCAGTGTTCTGGAGATGGTTGAAAGAACCTTTCACCCTAAACTCAAGGTGGTGCCAATCATGTAGTTTGGTGACACCAGTGGAAGAGGACATAGTGGTCTCTAGCATTGGGTTTCCTATTCCCTGAACACTTTCCTTAGTCTATGACCTTGCTTATAGTTTACTATCTGAATGTCCCTCTTCACCTTATCCATTTGCTAAAATTTCAGTTATTGTTCTTAAATTTATTTGCTTTACTTGAAAGTCACAGATGCACAGAGAGAGGTGGAGAGGCGGACAGGGAAAGAGAGAGAGAGGGAAAGAGAGAGAGGGAAAGAGAGAGAGGGAGAGGGAGAGGGAGAGGGAGAGGGAGAGGGAGAGAGAGAGAGAGAGATCTTCCATCCACTGGTTCACTCCCCAATTAGCCGCAATGGCTGGAGCTGCAGCGATCTGAAGCCAGGAGCCAAAAGCTTCATCCAGGTCTCCCATGTGGGTGCAGGGGCCCAAGGACCTGGGCCATCTTATACTGCTTTTCCGGGCTATAGCAGAGAGCTGGATCAGAAGTGGAGCAGCCAGATCTCAAACCGGCGGCAGCTTTATGCACTATGCCACCATGCCAGCCCTTCAGTTATTTTTCAAAGTTATATCAGCTAGAGATATAAACTGTCTCATTTCCATTAAATGTAAAATAAAATTTAAAAAATTTGGTAGGGAAAATACATATAACTTTTGTAGTTAAAATAAATGGAAAAGCTCATGGACAGAAGCTTAGCTTTAAGCACAGTGGTATTCAGATTTGAAATAATGTCATCAATCATAGTGATGTCAGAATACAGCCTAGATGCAGAAATGTAGTCATGCAATAGAAATACACTAATACTACAGAAGATGGAAGCAGATTCCCTATTGGTTCCAAAAAATGATTCTGCTGATTGGCTGTCTTATAGATTTTTATTTTTAACTTTTATTTAATGAATATAAATTTCCAAAGTACAGCTTATGGATTCCAATGGCTTCCCCCCCCATAACATCCCTCCCACCCGCAACACTCCCCTTTCCCACTCCCTCTCCCCTTCCATTCACATCAAGATTCATTTTCGATGCTCTTTATATACAGAAGATCAGTTCAGCATACATTAAGTAAAGATTTCAACAGTTTGCTCCCACACAGAAACATAAAGTGAAAAATACTGTTTGAGTACTAGTTATAGCATTAAATGTCAATGTACAGCACACTAAGGACAAAGATCCTACATGAGGAGTAAGTGCACAGTGACTCCTGTTGTTGACTTAACAAATTGACACTCTTGTTTTGGCCTCAATAATCACCCTAGGCTCTTGTCATGAGCTGCCAAGGCTATGGAAGCCCCCTGAGTTCACTGACTCTGATCATATTTAGACAAGGCCATGGTCAAAGTGGAAGTTCTCTCCTCCCTTCAGAGAAAGGTACCTCCTTCTTTGATGACCCGTTCTTTCCACTGGGATCTCACTCGTGGAGATCTTTCATTTAGGTTTTTTTTTTTTTTTTCTTCCCCAGAGTGTCTTGGCTTTCCATGCCTGAAATACTCTCATGGGCTTTTCAGCCAGATCCGCATGCCTTAAGGGCTGATTCTGAGGCCAAAGTGCTGTTTAGGACATCTGCCATTCCATGTGTCTGCAGTGTATCTCACTTCCCATGTCTTATAGATTTTTATAACCTATTCACCAAATGTTATGGCCAAGAATATGGACTCCATTGATTGGCTCACATCTTGCCAGGTGCCTGAGTATCATCACTAAATAAAACAATTGCAAATAACATGGGCTTAGGCAGGGGGAGCAGGGGTCCTCCTGATGAAATTAATATGCTAAGATTATGTTAAACAGATGGAATAACTGGTTGGTGTATGAAAAAATGTCATCTCAACCAACAAAGACCTACAAATTCTTGCTCAGGAGCTGTTGTTCATATTTTATTTCCTTTAAGTACTTTTTGACGGCAAATCTCCAAATTCTGCAAAGTAGGTTTATTCGTTTGCCTTGTCATATTTACTTATGCATGTGACTTCGCTTTCCCTTTATAATCTTTGATGAAAGGTAGTGTCTTTTATTTGCACCTGAATTGAACACAGAATATAACACAGGCTGCCTACTGATAGTGTGTCATTAAGAGGTGTTACTGCGTTTATAGACAGATGAATTTTGGATTTGAAGAATAGTATCATTTTTATACAATAATGTAAAATTATTAGAGAACCATGGGAATAATTAGTGAAAACTTTTGTGGGATTTCCTCATACTATAGCAGAGATGACTTACTCTCGTTTATTTTCATAGGTCTTTTCATTTGCATTTAATTTTTCTAGAAATACACATCAAATACCTTTTATGCAGAATAAGTAATTAAAGCAATTTTATTACATAATCTCAATTTTTCATATCAAACAGTATTGCTATATCCATTTTACATATTGTGAATCTGAAGTTTATGGAGATTAAGAAATAGTTCACCTGTAGGGCCAGAGGTTGGACATTGGATTTGAGCCCAGATTGTTTGGTTAGAAAGAATGAAGAGTTTCACAATATCAGAAATAACTTAGGTTTTATGTTTTAACATTTCTGGTGCCTAGATTCTGTCATGTGAAAATACACTGATGCTTTTTCTTTGACACCTATTAAAAGGTGAGAACATTTTTTTTTACTGTTTTTTTATCACTCTAATGGCAAATAATAATATTGTTTTCTCTTACCTCTTTCTTTCTATATTCCTCTCTTTCTATATTCCTCTCCATTCCTTTTCTTTTTGCTATATTACCTTTAAATAATCAGTTATGGAGCCTTTACCATTCGATGAGCATAGCTTTATTGGGTTTCCTAGGGCTTCTGGGAGTGGAGAGATTTAGGCTCAGTCAATGCTTCCATGACTAAAATTGCCATGATGTTGTCCAAGACAGTAACCCTTAGTTTCCTTTTTCTTAAAGTGGTTAATAATAATAATAATAACACAGTACAAACTTTATAAGGTTGCTTTCAGAAGGAAATTGAATACTTTCTGAATGTAATTATCGCTGAGCCTGGCACATATTAAATACACAACAAAATATTTTCTTAATTTGCGAATATTTACCTTGTGTAGTAATTTGGTCTCCCAGACTTTTTGTATTTTTGAATTGCTTTTAAAAGTTGAGTATCAGGAACCATGCTGTGGCATAGCAGGTAAAGCCACCGCCTGCAGTGCTAGTGTCCTATATGGGCACTAGTTCTAGTTCGGCTGCTCCACTTCCCATGCAGCTCTCTGCTATGGCCTGGGAAAGCAGTAGAAGATGGCCCAAGTCCTTGGGCCCCTGCGTGGGATGATGATCCAGGTCTCCTGTGTGGGAGACTTGAAAGAAGCTCCTGACTCCTGGCTTTGGATTGTCTGTCACAGCTTCGGCTGTTGCGGCCAACTGGGGAGTAAACCAGCAGATGGAAGACTGACTGACTCTCTCTCTCTCTCTGCCTCTCTTCTCTCTGCGTAACTCTGACTTTCAAATAAATAAAAGAAATCTTTTTTAAAAAAAAGTTGAATATCTGTTTCTAGGACTGGAATGCAGAATGTTTTGCAATCACCAAGAAATATCAATCACATAAAGGTTAATGAGCATTGCCTATGTACACATAACATGAAATGTGTTAAACAATAATAGAATCCTATGGTAGTAGACTCTCAAGAGACTCATGAGTGCACAAGAATGGACTCATAGAATAAGCTTCTAATAAGATCAAAACCAACTTAAGAGCAAGAAAATGACACCAAAATCCTACTTCAAAATGAAACATGCAAAATGAAAATTAGCCAACCAAACAGCTGAAAATATTTTGTTTTTTAGTTAGTTTTATCACCTGAAATATGTGAGAAACATCAATGGCCTAGAACTCAAATAGGCCATTGTTATTTTTATGCATATATCCAGTCTGCTCTGTGAAAGATCCCTTTCTTTAGCTAGGTCAGATCACAGGCTTGGAGGAAGAAGGATGGAGCAGTGAATCCTAAGTTGTGGGTGGCAGTAGGACTTGCCATTT